TACATGAAGGAATGAGTTCTTTTTCCCTCCCCCACACACATCCGTATCGTCTCAGGGGGTGACCACAGTGTTCTGCCTTAAATTGTGGCGTTTTTCTAAGAACTGGGCCTTTGTACTGTGCGAAATCAATGGATCATGCGAGAATAAACTTATGGACAACCTTTATTCTAAGAATTCCAATTGAGTGTGTTAGAGTGGCCAGCTCAGGGCAATAGTATATGATAAACACAGTACACATCACGTCTCTGTTGTTTATATCTTCAAAGCAAAGAAAACACGCCTTTCATAAGACTACGACGTAGGAACCGCTCGCCAGAGCCACAGGAACTTTGCTGCAAGACAGGCATATGTAACGATGACTAGGCGCAGATAAAGTCGTGTCTTATTTATACTCTGTTCCACTGACAACAGGCCAGCGAAAAATCTAACAATCTACAGCAAAACCATCAATTATTATGGGCGTTATAACATAGGTGTGCAGCTGGACGAAACATACACGTCGAACCCCCCCAGACGATTTAAATCCCTGACGAAACATACACGTCGAACCACGGCAACGGGTTAATGTTAGGGACCAGGTTTCACACCCATGCAAAATTATAGTTTTGTATATTCTGACTTTTATATATTTGGACAGCAGACGAGAAGACAAAAGGTTCTGTAAGATTACAAATTTCATAAATGTATGTTAATTGTACTTATGTGTCAAAATTTGAGCCTGTTGACAGAAACAGTGTTGAGTATGTCGCTAATAAGTAATAAGATTATAAATTACATAGATACAAGTTAATTATACTTGTGCATCACAATTTGAGCCTTTTGTCAAAACAGTATAAATGAGTACATTGTTAAAGGTTATAAAATATGTATGTAAAAGTAAAAGCAAGCAAGCAAGTAAGCAATCTCCAGTCATACATTCATAGATCCATAGATCCCCATAAGAGAGACCTGTGAATAGAGTAAAATACAGTCAAAAATGGCAAGCGGGACAACAACATAGATAAAAATATTCTTCCAATGAGTATAATTTAATTACTAGTATACAATTATTTTATCTCATTGGCTATAATTTGTTTATTCATCCCTTCCTTCCTTTACACTCATCGAGCCTTATTTGGCTGGTAAACTAAAATAAACAGTGACAACAAAATAAAGCACTTGGCTTGTTGGTACAATTAGACAAACACACTCAAACACATTATCAAGACAACTCCAATATGGTCATGAAACCGCTATGCAATGTGTGTGACTTCAAGCATGCGTCAAACTATCAAACAAACAATAATCATGTAAGAAATATACTGCTATTCATTAAGCATGTAATGAACCAGGATCTTTAATCAATATTGTGGTTAAAATATTCCTCCAGTGAGTAAAATGAATTTAGGCGTAGAAATCATTTTAAAGCAAATTTAAATTGTTCGATATGAGCTATGTTCTTTATGCTAGGAGGAAGGCTGTTAAAAACCATGATACAAAAATAATATGTTCCTTTTTTGGACTGTTTACAGATTGCATGTAGGATAGTGAAGGTTATTGTTGTGTCTTGTATTAGTGCTATGAATTTGAGAGTTAGTTTTAAATTTTTCTCTGTTTTTGGCCATAAATAACAACAGAAAATATATACTGTGATTGGAGGGGCAAAATTTTCAGTTTTTTAAACAATTCCCTACAAGAGTCACTTTTCCTAGAATTAGTGATGATTCTAATTGCCCTTTTCTGGAGCCTAAAGTAAGTATACTTTGGGGAGACTTGCCCCAGAAGATCAAACCATGTCATTACAGAATGAAAGTATGAGATATAAATCAGTCTCATTGTGATAGTCTTGATTGCATAATGGGTAGAGCTCAATCTAGTCATAAGCAAGTTGACATCTCCTTTCCACGATAACATATTGTCAATAATTGATCCAAGAAATCTGGTGTTGGTAGATTTAGCAAGCTGATTGTTGCCATGGAGAATGTGCATATCCATTGCCTGGCTATTCTTAGTCGTAAAATGTATAAAATAAGACTTATCAAGATTTAGTGTCAATAAATTGGCTTCAAATCAGTCATTTATGTCTTTGGAAGTCTGACTAATATTAGTTACTATAGGATTCTGACGATGGTGTATAACACAGAGATATTGGGTAATTGGAAAGTTTGACTAATATTAGTTACTATAGGATTCTGGTCCTGGTTTTAAGATAACTAAGAAAAACACGACGTTTCTCGGAAACTGGATCTGTGTCTGCCCTCAGGTTTATATTCCCAACAGAATAGGTGTTTTCCCTACCTGAGGGCAGACACAGATCCAGTTTCCAAGAAACGTCGTGTTTTTCTTGGTTATCTTAAAACCAGGACCAGAATCCTATAGTAACTAATATTAGTCAAACTTTCCAATTACCCAATATCTCTGTGTTATACACCATCGTCAGAATCCTATAGTAACTAATATTAGTCAGACTTCCAAAGACATAAATGACTGATTTGAAGCCAATCACTGGACAACTGATGACCCAAAACACAAACATTATAAACACCTGAGACCAGGCTAAGTCCATGTGAGCTAATAAGAACAATATACATTACAAATTGTTCCAAACACGTACAAGCGTGGAACCAGGATAGATAGAGCCGTAGAAATTTATGTCACGAAGACAAACTAATAACTAGATCCATGACCCCACAGCATGGAATAAAAAGGAGAACTAGTAAAAAACTAATAGTGTCTAACTAGCATCAACAATTGAATAAATCACGTCTATCACCTAATAGAAATCAATAAAAACGTATATCACGTCATACAGATTTCTATGTGAATTGATGACTTCATTGCTGATAATGGGGATCCAAATGGGAGAAAAGTCCAAACTGGGTTGGCTAATTGGCTTGGCCGAGCATGCCATATGGGCCGCTTCCTTGTATTTTCTATACCTGATGTGGCTTTCAATATCCAAAATCTTAGCTTCATCCCAGCCTACCCCATGTCCCTCTTCATAGGCATGTTGAGCTAGTTTAGATTTTGCTAGAAGACCTTTGAGGTTATCACTATGTTCCCGGAGCCGCACGGCCAGAGGTCTGCCTGTTTCACCAATGTAGCTTCTGCCACATTCACAGGGAATGCTATAGACGCACTGTGCCGTCTGTTGCAGATCTCTTTTTGGTCTGGTTTTCATAAGAGAGTTCCAAAGAGTGTGTTTTGTTTGGAAGACGGTCCTAATATTATATCGATTACCTATCCGTTTCAACTTTTCAGAAACACCCTTCACATATGGAATATATACAGAACACAGAGGTTTTACCTCTTTCTTCGGATGACTACTGCCCTTGGAATTAATGACCGAGTCAATGAAGCCTTTGGGATAACCGTTCAACTGGAGATCATGTCTCAGTTTGTTAATTTCTTTGACCGATCTTGGCATATGGTGGAGGCTCTGTTGTGGAGACTTTTAATCAAACCTCTTTTTACATGTGGCAGATGGTTAGATTTGAAGTTGAGGTATTGGCCAGTGTTCTTAGTTATCTTAAAACCAGGACGATGGATAAAGTCCGATTACCCAATATCTCTGTTTGACTAATATTGTTTTCATAATTTACAGAGGAGAAATTAGTAATAATTATGCTAGTATAATCTGCGAAAAGGACAGGTTTGGAATTGCTGTTTATAGTATTTGGCAAGTCATTTATATATAAAAGAAACAGTAAAGGTCCCAAAATATATCCCTGGGGAACACCATTATTAACTGTACCCTATTCAGAATGAATATGCCAATTATTGATTAGTTGTGTTGAATTGAATACAAATTAAAATCCACCATGAACAACATGAATCACATGTAACTTCACCAGAGGTCTTTGTTTTAAGAGTTCCTAGTTAATGGAGTTTTTAAGAAGCTGCAAGGGAAATTAAAAGGGAATGCATATGGGCAGTCCTGGAGGAATTAGGAGTATTTCATCCGTCATCTTACAATTAGGGGAAATGATGTCACAAGAAGAGACTTGATCTGTGATAAACAAAAAAATTTGGCGATTGTTGCAGGTATTTTACCTTTAATAATGGCGAATTCTTGAAGTGTGCTTATACATCTTAAATGAAACCTTTCGTGTCAGTCCCTTCTCATGCCATTTATTTCCAATCTGATTTCTACCATCTCCAAATTAATGTGCATAAAAATTTGTATGGAATAGTATAAAATTATTGCCATTTGTCATTTTCATATGTGAATTGTTAGAAGCAATGTTAAAGAATGTAAAGAGTAAGGAAGATTCAGCATGCAATCATAATGTAGCAATAAATTTGTAAAATTTGTGTTGATGGCTTCTGATGGAGGACCTGTATAGGAAACTTATTATGTCAGAAGCCTTTCTCTCAGAGGAGAAGAAAGGGTTGAGTATTTCACAACAAAACAGGTCTTGATTGTTTGGTGTAGAGTTTCATGGATAAAACTATTGTCAGTCAGATACTTAGATACTTGTATGGCCAGTGTTTTTAATTCAAACCTTTCAAGGCTGTACATAATATAAATGCCTATTTGATCTTATTGAGACATTGATAAAATTTGCACCCTGGTAGCAGTGGCATGTGCTTTTAAGAAAAGTATTCGTATCATTAATGTGGGGTGTTGTAAGTTTGTTATCGCATACATGAAGAAGTAAAAAAGCGATTTCAGTGTTAACTGTTCTCATGCATTTGTGTTCCACCTGCAGTATGCTATGCGCTAATAATGTCTAATAATGTCTATTGTAAGATTTGAGGTTTTCACGGCGGTGACCATGAAGAAAGCAGTCTTCTGGGATGTTGCACCGTGTAGATGTGGTGTTAACCGACGTTTCGGTAGAATGTATCGCCTCCATCTTCAGGGTCTATACAATGACTATTGTATTTCCACATTGTCACCACAAATTTTGATGCAAGTTAGACATCTCTGGAATGTGGCATTGAGGACAAATGGACACCCATTGTAGGATTCGTTGTATGATGGTAGTAATCCTCTTCTTTAAGCCATTGATAACTTCAGGTTTAGTCAAATACATCTAGTCTTTCTTCATTCCCAACAGTGAAAGATGCAGGGAGCCAGAGCAGATGACCTACTTGGCCATGATGGAGGAGCACTGTGGCCAGTCCAGTGATATCCATGTAGTTTTGTGTGCTATGGGTGTTTTGTCCTGAAAGTAGCTATTCCTAATGGTTGACAGAGGAGCTCATCCAAGCTGTAAATCTGCAGCATGTCCAGGAACATTTCTCTGGTGATTGCTGATTCATTGAAGAAGTAAGGGGCTGTGCTGCTCTGATATGTTACTTGCATGAGACATCCACTGTTTGTGAATATCTTAGCTGTTATTTTTCCACAAGACACAAGGGATTTCTGTGCCTCAGATGAGACAGTTATACTGATGTAGTCTTCCAATAAAACAGAATGTTTGCAGTGTTGTACTATGCAATGTTGCAGACAGTGTCGGATTCATTGTTCCACATATGAGGTAGCACCTTGTCGTTGTTTGGCAGTGCCTGCACGAATTGCAGATGGTACAGCTTCATGCCACAGACACAAATGACAATTCTCCATGCCATTGTCATTGAAGGTCCTCTAGAAAGATAGACAGTGAAGTGACTTCGACGGTGAACTGATGTGGAGCCTTGTACTCGCACACTGCAAATGCTCTGTCAGTGTGAACAACATTGGTTTGATCAAGACTTGGTGTGCAGGCATTGACCCTAATGCTTACAAATGTTTTGATTATTCTTTAAATGAGAAGCTTGGTAAGAGGTATTTTCTGGACATGTAGTAAGCGCGCAGTTTTCTGATATCCAGGTGTCTGGAATTCTGATGCAACCAGCAAGAAAAGAAAGGAAATTTGCAATTTTTATAAAGGTAGTTCTAAAGCAAATTTGCAGTGTGTATGTGTTCACCTTCTATGTAGTGGTTCATCTAGCTGGTACTAGTAGTGCTGCCTTGTTATTGTACATGGTGTAGACTTTTTAGTGTCATCTTGCTTTGAAGTGATGTTCTGTCTTTTTATAGATCCTACAGAAACATTGCCCACAAAACTCCCATTGTTCTACAGTATAAACACATGACAGATGTCACTGATGCGAACAATGAAAGGAAAAGTGTCTTTCTGCCTACAGTACCACCTTTGCTCTCTTAATGACAGAAGTCAATACTGATATTTGTATAAGTCAGAAGTAATCATTGAGCCATGTTTTCTACTTGGATGGTTCAGGAGTAGCCCCTTCTGGTCCAGTACCCTCAACTCCATCCCCTTATCAAGACACCCATGCTGTGACTCATTTACCGTTATTCCATCATTCCATGTACCACACAATTTCCCCTTCCTCTCTTGCTTAGAAAAGAAACGCCTCCATCAGTATGGTTACTGATATGAGGGCATTCTTTACTTGCCAGCAGTCGGGCGAATTAGGTCGGTAAAATTTGGATTCGACTGGGATTTCTAAATTGCATTTGGACTCTTCACTCCTGCTGTTGAGCGCAAGTGGCTTCCTAGTTGCAACAGTATGTATGTTTTTCGTTTGGGAATGTTGAAACGAGAGTTTTTGTTTAGTATTACATTATGAGTGCCGGTCATGATAACCAAGCAGTCTGAGGCATGTACTGTCTTCATTCACTTGGATGCCGGGATTGTGGGTTCGAATCCCACACAAGGCATGAATGTTTGGTATGTGTATGTGTTTATTCTGTGTTTGTGTTGTCCTGTGTTTAGGCAGAGGCTTCGCAATGAGTTGATCACTCATCCAGGGAGTCATACCATCTGTAAAATGAACATGAAACTGAAAAATCAGAGGCCAGGGTCCAAGGGGGCTGTAGAGCCAGTGAAACAAAGTATGTTACAAGTATTGTTTGTTTGGGCTTGCTACTGCCCTAATTAGAGTTGCTGTTTGACCATAAAATGGGGAAACATTGTGAAGTGGGTTGACTTGCAATGTACCTGAGTTTGGTCTTTTTCTAGGTCTGGGTTAGGTAGGTAGCTCCATGTGGTTACCTTGTGTATTTTTTTTTTTTTTCACTCTGAGCCAATGAAGGTGGTTGAGGGCATAGTTTTGTTGCAAATGCATATTTGAATTAATGTTTGAGTCTTATTTATTTTTTATTGTTATTGTATGTCAAATTTATGTTTAACTGTTATTAAATACTTGTTATTTTGGAGCTTCAGTCTTTTCTTGGTGAAAGATAAGCATGAACACCCAATTCCATCTGGGGAGCACTGTGAATACAACAGTTGAATCAGGGATAAATGCAGCTTCCTTCCCCAAGTAGCTGTAATAGGTAGGTAGTAGAAGGGAGGAGCTGTTAATCATTTTGTATGAAGTGAAATTATGTAACTGATTACTGCTAGTGATATGTGTCACATTTTGAGTGAAAGATGGCTGAAAGTGAACTGAAAGCCACGCCTGGACATCTCACTTTGAGTTAACGGCAATAGAGTAAAACCTCATTAACAGAAGGAAGCGGTACTCTGAAAGAGTGAAAAGTTCAAATTATGGAATGTAATTATATGTAATATATGTAAATATTTGCAAGTCATAGTTCATAAAAACAAACAAATTACAGTCCAGCAACATATTATGACACGGCAGTTAGAACCCATAAACTTAGGAATGTCAGAATTGCAGAGATATCAGGAAAATGACCATTTACTGAATGGGAAAACAGACACTAAGAAATAAGCAGAAACAAAGGAAGATGGAAATTATTGTGGTAAACACAAACGGATGTGGCAAAACCAGTATGAGGATGAGGTAATGAATGTGCGGATGCTGATATAGGCATTCAGCATATGTAGGGAGCTAGTGAAGAAGAAAGAGATGATTGGGCAATGGTGTGAGTGGTGAAGGAAAGTGGTAGATGGCATAAATGAAGGAAAGAAACATTCCTTTTTGCATTCCCCATCAGGACAATGACCAAACTACCTGAATGAGTGGGCGTGTGATTTAGTATTGTCACGTGTAGGATGGTACTCATGACAAAATGATGGGTTGTAGCTCAGATTACTGGATTTATTAGCACTTCAGTTACCCAATCTCTCTTAATTACACTTAAATGTAGCACTGTTGCTGATTTACACACACACACTGGTCATCTCTTGATACCACAATTAAAACACAGGAAATAATAATTCACAGTATTACAAATTAATAAAGTCTTCCAATCACAATTTAAGTCTTCACAGGTTGACTTCTTTTTCCTCTTCTATGATAAACCGTCTGTGGCTATCTTCTACCGAGAACTCAGGACTGTGTCACTCACTGTAACTGTCACTTCTAGTTCCAATTCGCTCTTTCGCGTGCTTCTGCCGCTACTATTTCTCTCTCTACTGACCTCAACTGAAGTCTGTCAGCTTAGGAATTCTCACTTATATAGCCAAGGGACAGACATCAACCAACTGTAAACACACATCACATGACCCATACCCACCATTGCTGTGTGATGTCACTGCACATGTGCAGGTGACAGACACGCAGGAAACATATCACATGACGGCCACCTACTGTTGATGTGTGATGTCACTGATCCTATGCCAACTGCTGCCCTGCTGTTGCGTGCGCATATCGTGTTTACAGAGATGTTGCTGCCAATGTGTTAATCAAATATGCCACAGTATTAATTATTTAACCATGTAACGAATGATGTTTTGTAACATGGTAACACATAAGTAGATCATGGAGATTAGTTTTCTCTTCCCGAGCATGCTAGTGTTGCACTGTACCTGCTCATGTGCCAGTATACACAATATGGCTAACATCTGTGCATTCTCTGGAGAACACAGATGCTATCAGAGTAGTGATGCAAATAAGACCCAGTAAATCAACAAGGAAGACTGCAGCACAACTAGGGATATCAAGAAGATCAGTGCAATGAATATTGAAAAGTGATTTGTATTTGTATCCATACAAAATGGTAGTGTTACCTAAACCTATAGCTCATCAAAGAATGGCATTTGCTGGATGGGCTCAGAATATTGAGATAAGGTAAATGTAAAGCTATCCCTGTAACAGGCCATGGAGGCTCATAAGGTTGTGAGACATTGAGGGTCCCATATTATCTAGACATTTGGTTCACAGATGGTGGTAAGGTTGTCAGCCTTACACACCGGCCACCTTTTACTTCCCAGGAAGAATCTTGGTACTCATTTATCTTAGAGGCCAAGTCGACCCCGGGGCCATAGTGCGGCTGGAAGGATTAGGTCAGTTAAAAGAAATCGCCTCATTGGGACTCAGCCCCGCGGCCTTCCGGCTTGTACCGACTACGCTACCATGTGCCCCCAGAATAATGATTTATTCAACAATATTTGGTTTTCTGATAAGACACACTTCCACTTGGATGGTGGGGTTAATAAACAAAATGTTTGATTTTGGCCATCAGATAATCCATGTGTGATTCATGAGAAGGTGCATCATGCACCGAGAATTACAGCGCTAGGGCCAGTTTTCTTTGGAGAGTGTGAACAGTGAGTGCTATTGCGCAATTTTGTGCCTTACGTTCTTGCTACAGATTTTCTGTTACCAGTTCTTTGGTTCCTGCAGGATGGAGCCATGCCGACACAGCGAATGTTGTTTTGGACTTTCTGCATGACACTTGACTTCCATGTCATCTCAAACCGATTTCCTGATCATTTTGCATGTGGAAAGAACTGGCCCCCAGATAGTCCTCTTTTAAACCTCTGTGACTACTTTTTTTTTAAATTCCTTAAGGAAACTATTTTTCCAAAAAAGCCGCAAACATTAACGGAATTAAGAACACTAATCATTCAGTCATGCAATGAAATAACTGAGGATATATGCTGTCGAGTAATCAACAACGTCACAGTTTGTTAGGCTTGAAAGGATTCTGATGATGGTGTTTACTGTATTTCTTTAGGCTTGTTTTGGACTTCAGGCAATGTCTGGTATGTAAAAGATCCAGTCTCCGAAACGTCGTCGTATTTGGTCCTTTACATACCAGACGATGGATGAAGTCCAAAACAAGCCAAAAGAAGTCACGGTTTGTGTTGAAGTTGTCAGATGTAATGGTGGTCACAGATTCTTCATGCAGTGGTGTATATATTTTGTATGTTAGTTTCTAGTATTGTAATTGAAATAAAGATTTTATTAATAAATAAATTACTGGATCATTTGATGTTCGGTACCTGTGAACTTTAGAATGTGGGGCAGCAGAATTATCAGAAAAGCGTGCATTTACTCACTCATTCACTCACTCATGGAGCTGAGCCCTAATTGAGTAGCTGCCAACTGTGCAGCTACTCAAGAATTTCCAGCATTTTATGGAACCCGAAGTTTCATTAATGTGTTCAGAAGAGCCCTCCACTGGTCCCTATCCTGAGCCCGATCAATCCAAGCCATACCATCCCATCCCATCTAAGATCCATTTTAATATTTTGCACTTACCTATGTCTTGGTCTTCCTAAGGGTCTCTTTCCTTCTTGGCTATATGCATTCCTCTTCTCCCCCATTTGTTCTACATGCCCTGCCCATCTCATCATCCTTGACTTCATCAGCGAGGGTTGGAACTTTAATAGTGGCAACACTGCTGTAGAGACGCCATGCAACGAAACCAAATAATGTCCCTTATACCACCCGTTAGTTACATATCCACCTTACCTCAGAGCAAATAAACTTCCTTCCGACATCACGCGCATGCGCAGCGACAAGAAGAACAGAGCCTCGTGTTAGCTGGCGATCTAATGTAGTGTTGTCACGATGTTTTCGAAACAGGAACAACGGAGTTGAATAAAGATTGAATGTGCAAGAGGCTGTACAGCACGACAGTGTCATCAAGGTCTTGAAGAGGCATCCGGGAATCTGCATTACCTTACAGAACAGTGGCAAGGTGGGTAAAAGCCTTCAACGAGGGACGCCAAAATGTGGCAGACATGCATCGACCAGGTCGTCCTAGTGTCAGTGAAGAAGAAGTGTATGCTCTTTCCACGTTACTGGAGAGTGATCGAAGCCATACGATTCGTGAGGTGGCCCGAGAGACAGGATTAGCGCCTACGACTGTGCTTATTCTGAAGGAACGCCTGAGCATGAGAAAAATTTCATCGCGATGGGTTCCGCATGATTTGACGGAAATGCAGAAATGGCTACGATACGACGCTGCTCGTAACCACTTGGAGCGCTATGAGCGCGAAGGAGAGGCTTTCTTACGCGGTGTCATTACGCTGGATGAGACATGGGCCAAATCGTACTAGCTACAAATGAAACGCCAATCGAACGAATGGCGTCATTACGGGTCATCACGAAAATCAAAAGTTCGTCAGAACCAGCGATGTGAAAGCTTGGGTGATTCTCATGTACGACTGTGATCGTGTTATCCTAACGCATACCATTTCCTGACAGCAGACAGTCAATGCGCAGTATTACTGTTCATTTTTGGAACAACCTGCGACCAGCTTTAAGAAAGAAGCGGCGACACTTTCTGCAGAATCCACCCATCATTCTGCAGGACAATGCTCGGCCGCATGCAGACCAAGCTGTGGCTGATTTGTTCGATCGATAGGGCTGGGAAGTGCTGTACCGTCCACCATACTCTCCGGACTTATACTCACAATTATTGTGAAATTATCAGCAAGATGATCAACGAATGATTTCGTATATTATAGTTACACGTACATTTTATAAACCTCTATTGTCATCAGAAATAACAAAACGTTTACGGAAAAGCGTTATTGCGGTATACATTTAACTTGTTTCTTTCTCTCATATAAGAACGATTTTAGAACTACATTACACATCGATCCCCCATTCATTCTAGTATGATACTATAGGTTTCTATCAAACTGATGTCACGGATGCGTTTCGATACATATAATTGTTCATAATAAGTATGAAAATGTTAAGCACCAATCAATTCAAATTAAAGGTAATTTCATGAAATTAACTTTACATTCATACTTTAAATGTATCATGTATTATGCTGGTTTATTATTTTTTTCGGTTCTCAGTAATCGTTACCTTCTATTCTGAGTTTAAGACGGTCATAATTCCGTAACCGTCCAAAACCGGACGCATGTTTATATGAACTTTTTTGATCACAAAGATCTTGGAAATCACCTCCTGCAGTTATGCCCTAAAGTCGTGAATCACCATGTATACAATTGTTACAGATTTACGTGGTTGTTTTTAGAACATCGACAATCCCACAAATTGTTATGGGATGTTCACGTTGGTGCATTATTTTGTACCTCGTTTAATGAAGATGTTGCTGGTGAATAGGTCTCTGTAGTCGAATCTGCCTGACATAGGCTACGAAGCATGGAATATTAGGTTGACTTGTGAATTATGAGTTGAGAAAATGTCGGTTGTGATCTATTTGTGTCTACTTACGCACTTGGAGAAACTGAGGAGGACAATTAAAATCCTCAATTAAGGCAGTCGGCACTTAGACCGAGGTCTTAACCAGTCACCTCACAAATTTAAATTAGTACATCCAGGGAACAGCGGTATTCGGACTCACAAATGTCAAGCAAGCATTTCTGGGAAGAAGTTACCATGCTTATAGGCGGGGTAACTGTGACTTTCTTAGGTCACATGTTAGAGGTAGTAATGATGCTATCCTTAATAAGGTTGCCCGAACTACGGATGTCTTTGGTGGGGACGCATCATGGACAAGGGATGCGTTGGGACACAGCTTTGGGACAACTCCTCGTGATCCCGCTGGGCAACGACGACAGTCTCGGGGTCTGGATCAGTATGACCTACCGGGACTGGCGGCTAAGTTCCCATAAAGAGCAATGGCATTATGACCGGAGCCTCCCACTCGGCGGCATAATGACTCTTGGGTGTCTCTACGGTGTACCCAGGACGAATGCGAGAGAGCACTCCCATGGGGGTAGATTCAGCTATCTGTCTCCCTAGAGTACCGATAAGGTGCCGCAAGCCTTAGGGCTCAACACTTCGAAACGGTTTAAACAACCCATTTGGAGGGGTGGGAATGGGGGAGCTGATAGGCCACCCCCAGGGGCGACCCTCTCATGCAGGTTGCCCTGGTCGTAACCTCATGACTAACTGGTGTCTCACTCCCATTAA